GGGGGGGAGGGGCAAATAACCGGGTGTGGGTGGAATAACCGGGTGTTGTGCCTCCGGCTTGCTGCACCTCGCGAAAATCGTCTTGGCGCCACTGACGTCGCCAACGACACCATGGAACAGTGGCTCGAGAAGAAAATATCTGCAGCCTCGGTATTTTCTCCCGGGAATACCCAAGATGCCATGTGCCTAGCCAGGAGTGTGGTAGTGGCCCAGGCCCACGGGGTTATGAATAGACACGCCTTCTACCGCATGAAGGATTCCAAGTCAGGGATGCAACAAAGCAAGGCAGAAGGTCTATGCACATTGGCGCAACTCGATCCAGCCCGTCCATGTGGACTGGACGAGCTACAAAAGGTGCAGGATGTGCTTCCCTCTCACCGTCTCTGTGTCTTCACAGACAAGAGAGGTGCAGAGTGCATTTTTAAGGGGCCTTATGGCGTGGGTCGCAAAACATTTACCTGGTTTTGCACAATGAGCATTTTTATGCCATTTTGTTTCCCTGCGCTGCATTTGATTACAACCATGAATGCAAAAAGTTTGTAGCATTTTACAATAACAGAGGTGACCACCGCTGTGAGGGGTCGTGTTGGAGGTGTTTTGGGGAAAACGCCCACGACGACTCCGTTTTGCCACTCCAGCGTTGTAACCGATGTCGTCACTATTTTGCTGGTGATGAATGTCTAGCTAATCACCAGACATTGGAGCTCCCTGGAGTAGTTATACTGGGACCGGGTAGCCCTTGCCTACCTCCCAGGCGCTAGGAGGCGCGCGCGACGGGTAGCGGGCCCCCAGCTTTGTGGTAGGGTGGGGGGGATCCCTCTCGAGGAGTGGGGGTACGTGTTCGTGATGGTGGGGGGATTTCTCTCGAGGAGTGGGAGTACGGGTAGGGTGGGGGTGTGACGTCATGCAAAATGCAGCGCCGTGGCCTGGGCTCGAACCTGTGACTGCAGACCTCTACAATTCTACGTCTGTCACCTCGGCGACCGCGGCTACCTTGCGCTTCACACGAGACTTGCGCTCGGACTCTGTGTCATTCTGCAGAACACGATACTGTGCTCGGTCGGCTGCCTATCCTGAGGGCGCTTGGCTCACGCGTGTTGGGTGGCCTACCTCTCGGGGCGTGGAGGGGCAACTGGGGAGATAATTAAGGAGGTAGCAAGGTATTTGTGCCATACAAAGAACAAGTCGCAGTAAATTTTTCAGAGTATCGTGACCCTGTGATACCCGAACCTCGGGTGGTTTGGACACACAACACATGCTTCGCGCTTTTTTGAAGGCATTTCATGTCATACTGAGCGTTTGGCGTAGCGTTCTGTTACGTTTCTTTCGGGTAAAATGAGCTTCTCTCGTGTGGCCGAGATTGCCGGCGTGTGCGGCAGATTCACCGGCAGCGCAGCTTTCGCCGCACCGCAGGGCCAGTGCAGGCAGATCGCGTCGCCTCTCGCGAGAGCGCATCGCGCCGCGACACGGTGTAGCGCGCAGCGTCAGCTTACCGCATCAGCTTGCATTGAGCTGTCGGGGCACTTGTTAGGATTATGGGGTAGATTCAAAAAAGGTCAGCTTCGGATAAAAAATATTTTAATGGATACAAAAAAATATGTGAAACATCAAAATCATCACAGTTCAAATACAATATTGTCAAAAACTAACAACACGATAAACGCTAAGGGGATACAAGTCGTTCAAAAATTCTATCCTTAATAAACGAAAAATGAAACGCTTTGAGTTCTTCTCTTAAACAGCTAATATCAAGACAATCATACAGATTCGTGTCTTGTGTATACATGGTCATAATAGAGGTAGAGGTTTTGTCCATCCCGTTTTCTATAAGGGAGTTAAGGTCGGCTGGGTTGGTTTTGTTAGGGTCACCTGTCTTTCTTTCTAGGTAAGCAGTGACTTCTTGAATAAACTGCTCTAGGTAATGGCCGATGTACGATGAGCTTTGTGTCAGCTTGACTGTGGTCATTCTGATCAGATCTCTGAGATGCCCAAATTTGTTCCATGTTGATGAGGCACAGAAAAATAAATTATACTCCATCCCGCATCGTTTGATTTTCACAGACTTCCCTCCGTGTTTGGCAGTATACTGTGAAATCTCCAATCCTCCGACATGGAATGGCGGCGTAATGTCTTCGTTCCCCAACGACATGGACTGAATACGGGTGAAAATGTCGTCCTTCATAAGAAGGTACAGCTCATCTAGGGAAACACGCAACGTGTTCGAAAAGTTGAGCCGGTGATCGGCAAAGAAAGCACACGTTTGTTTGGTGTTGAGGTCTACCCCCAGAATAAGTGATTTGGAGTTATTAATCAGTGAAGCGTTCGTGAGTGGGATAACGCGCCTGTTAGTGAGATAAACAGGTACACTCATACCGTTAGGAGGTTCCACAAAATTTTCAATGTGTGGGTCATTTTTGGCAGACAGTCCACCTATGCCTGCATCAGCCATTATGTCAGAGAGCTTGTCTGTTGCAGCAGTCTGTTCATTGAGAAACCGATCCAGTGTTTCACTGTGTAGCTCGTCAAGTGTAGGTGCCTTTGGCGTGTAGTGCAATCTTTTAGGGGCACGTTTCTTGGTCTCTTTCCCGCTCATTTTAAAGTGTGGATGTGTAAAGCTCCAGAGTGAAAATGTGAGGCCTGGGCGGCTGTCCGACGGTTTTAAATCGTCCCCGGGAGTCGGAAGCAGGTTGCGACAGGCTTGTCACAGGACGTGGTGGGGGTACCCCCACCGGCACCCAAACAGCCGCCGGGCGCGGCACTTCGTGATTTTCGGAGGGGGTAGCCGCCTTGCCCCTTACCCTAAACGGACCGCCGGATGCGACACTTCGTGATTTTTGGAGGAGGTTGCCGCCCTGTCCCTCATCCTGATCGGACTGTCGGGTGCGATACCACCTTACCGCTCACCCTAATCGGCCGAGGACCCGCCGCGCCCGTCCCGCGTCCCCGCGCCGCCCGCGGGGCCCTGCGTCGGGCCCCGCCGC